TTTCCGTCCCCAGATGCTTTTTTTTTTGTGGTGTCACGGGCCGAAGGATTCAATTTTGATTCCATAATTGAAAGAATAAAAATTATTTGTTCTCAATCTGTATTGGTAGATGTTTCTTTGTGTTGGACTATTTATTTATAGCATTTGGCAACAAAAAATCCTCCTGAGTGCTTTTAGTACCTACAGTAGTAAGGACTTCAGCTTTGAGATGCTTGAGTCTGGTGAAAACAGGAAACCCATGGCCCAATCAATCTTAGTATAAGTAAAGTCTGCAATTTGATTAGAAGATCCATATAGCTGATGTTGCTAGCCTAGTAAACCGCAGTCGGCCTGCCCTGCACGTACTCCTTTAATTTGTTGGTCATGCATTTGTGGCGCCTAACTCTAGGATTCTCATTTATTTGCAGCTAGATCATGCCATTTATTTGTGCTTCCTATTATAAAAGTCGGTTTTAAATGATCCTCCAACTTCAAACCTGCTGACGTTGTAATTTATACTCCCACAATCTGCAGCAGGTACGGAATCGGGTGTGCATTTGGTAGAGCATCATAGTTGTGTTGTCTTCTACAACTTTCTTGAACCTATTTTTCAAAGAAGAATATAACCTTTGGATAATGTTAGAATGGAGATAGAAGCCTCTTCAATGGCTCGGTAAGATCAGGTCACAAGTCCGGTCAGAAAGAGAAACATCTAGCAGGTATGGTTTTCTGTTTCCTTCATTATATTTTTATTTGTTTACTTACTTATTTCTTTCTGCTTCACATACACACGTTCATACAAAGCACAATAATATATTGTTCGTCTTCAATTTCTACCGAAATAGAACATGTTAAGATGTTCCTCTCATATTTACCAGCTTTTCCTCATCTCTTCTGGACCTGGTTGAGTCGTAAAGATCCAGTTTGAAGTCACGGTGGGAAACTTTGTACTTGCGAATAGATAGAATAACCAAGGGAGGATCGAAAGTGCAATTTGGTTCTAAAGGAAACACAGCTTACTCAATACCTTGAGGTGTTCACTTCCCTTTTTCCCTTTTTAATTCCCACCTCTATGACTGAAAACCCAACTCAAATTGGTAATGCAAGAGACTGGATTTTTTAATAGTAAAGATCATTGTTGCATAGTTCTCAAATCCTAAATTGATGCATTTTCAATGAGTTGAGACTTTGTGGTTAGTGAGTTGTGTGTGTGTGTTAATAGTTTCCTACTGTGCTGCATCTCGGCAGAGCTTTTTTAGGGATGAAGAATCCAATTAATAAAGACGACACAGATGTAGAGAACGGGAGGTTCGAAAAGGACCTGGAAAAGTCTCTAAGAAATAAAAGAGGACTTACAGTACACAATCAGGCCTTCTTATCCGGTCTCTCCTATTGTTTGTCCTCGTGTGGCATGATACTGGTCAATAAGTATGTCCTCTCCAGTTATGGCTTTAATGCTGCCATATCGTTGATGCTTTACCAGGTTACCCTTTGTAACATAATAATCTTTAGTTTGTAGCCAGGATTAATAAATTTCCAGCTGCCATTTTCTTACGCTAAATTTTTGTATGATTTCAGTTAATTCAGAAAATTTTATTGTTCTAAATGACTGATAAAATAAATTGTTCATTCTTTTAGAATTTTGTATCGGTAGTTGTTGTTTCCATTTTGAGTCTCCTTGGAGTAATTACAACGGAACCACTTACATGGAGATTAATCAAGGTCTGGTTGCCTGTTAATATTATATTTGTGGGGATGCTGGTCTCAAGTATGTTTAGGTACTTGCTCCTTAAATAATTTTGTTATCTCATCCTTACATATTTTTGTTTCTTCTTAATATCATAAAACCGGGCTGTGCGTGGGGCTCATTTTTGATTGTAGGTTTCTGTAAACTCTTTCCTTGTATTGCAGTTTGAAATACATTAACGTTGCCATGGTTACGGTTCTCAAGAATGTAACCAATGTGATGACAGCTGTTGGCGAAATGTATTTATTCAACAAGCACCATGATAGTAGAGTTTGGGCAGCCCTTTTCTTAATGGTATGTTGTGGTGAATTTATTCGTTTGAATATTTAGACCAATTTCGTCTGTGCTGAGTTTCGTATAGCCTGTTAACCCATTTTGCGTAGGTAGTTTTAGTTTTTTTTTTTTTTTCATTTTTTTTTTCACACTTGATTGAACTTTACATTATAGTATCATCAATTGTTAACTGAATTATGTAAAACTTGTTGTGGTCGTATGGTTTGTCATTGTAACTCGCTGTACACCAAGCACAGACTATTTAGATTCTATGATGATCATTACTTGAATTTTAAGCAATTTCTGTTTGCCATTATTTTTCACGTTAATGAGTTTGTGTTCAATTAAATCTCCTCTTAATTAACATTTCCGCGTGATGCAGATCATTTCGGCAATATCCGGAGGGTTTACAGATCTTTCATTTCATGCTGTTGGATACACATGGCAGTTTATCAATTGTCTTTTGACAGCATCATATTCTGTAAGTAAAACTTATTCAGTTCTTGAATTTTTCAATTGTTGAAGAATTTTCAATATTGCTTAGCCATGCTAAGCAGTTATCCATGCAGGCATCGCTATAATGTCTTATATTAAGTCTTTATCTCTTTAAGCTGACTTTGCGTCGGGTAATGGACACTGCCAAACAAGTCACTAAATCTGGAGAGTTGAATGAGTTCTCAATGGTCATGCTAAACAATAGCCTCTCACTGCCACTGGGAGTTATTCTCCTTTTCGTGTTCAATGAGGTTGACTATCTTTCACAAACGTACGTAAGCTGTATTATGTAAACCGATATCTTCCGTGTCTCGTAGTAACATTAGTTTGGTTGATTTATTTTATTTTATTTTAGTTTGTCTGTTCTTGTTGGTAAATGGCAGGCCACTCTTGAGGCTGCCGTCTTTCTGGCTGGTTATGACCTTTAGCGGGCTGTTGGGCTTAGCAATCAGCTTCACCTCCATGTGGTTCCTCCATCAAACTGGAGCTACTACTTACAGGTAACAACTTTTTGCTACTTCCTGTCTGTTTTCTTGTGGCACCAAAAGGCATCGTGTTCGAATATTTGATTTGCTATTAGCATGGTTTAGAACATGTTATTAATCCATTGATTTTGGTTTTGCGGGACTTCTGCTTTTAGAGAAATTGTTTTATTGTCTTTTAGTCAGATTTCAGATATATGTAGTGTTTGCCTAAAAGAGATTAATGCCAATCAAGTTGGAAGAATGGTTTAAAATTGACCAGTGCTCGTCTCAAGTGTTTGTAGGCATTCCCTTAGAACTTCTTTAATCACTCTTGATATCTGTTTGGTTCATAAAGGTTGTGGTTTTTGCGTATTCTGCAGTCTTGTGGGGTCACTAAACAAAGTGCCTCTTTCTGTTGCTGGGATCCTTCTTTTCAATGTCCCGACAAGCTTGGAAAATTCGGCAAGCATATTTTTTGGTAAGTTCACGTAATTGCGCTATATTTATCGTATAATCCCATGTATAGAGACATCACATAACCAGCTAAACCATGTGTTCTTATTGTAGGATTATCAGCAGGAGTGCTGTTCGCCAGAGCAAAAATACGATAAAGGATTCGCATTTTTCTCTATCTTTTGTTCCCTTTGAAGGATTTTGAAGTTTACACTCGACTTGCCCACCTGCTTCATAGCCTGGAATGTTTCGTTTCATGACCAGCAGCGACGCAACATTTTTCCATTCAATTCTAGCATTTGATGATAGTGTTGTCTTGTTCTTGTGTAACTGATGAAAAATATACACAAGCATAAAAGAAAATAAATTGGTAGAATATTGGGTATTCTTGAGGCACGAAAATCTCGTTCGATCCCTAATTTTTCATTCTTTTCATTTTTCTGGGGCCGACTTTAATTCTATGTTGAAGCGATTTTTCTTAAGGTGCTAGAAGGGCATTGATTCGGACTAAAAGAAAACAAAAAAGAAAACACCAAATAAACTTATGTTAAACACAATAAACAAAAAAATCAATCAAAAAATTAAGATTCGCGAAGTAATTAACCTCCTAAAACAAATACAATTACATCACACTTAGAAAGAATGCAGAGGCCAGCTCAAAATTTTACTTAAAACGCTATGGTGGCTTCGAACAATCTTCAACTACTGCCACCAACTACAAAAAGCTTTCACGTCATCAGCTGCCATATAATCTTGCTAGTAAAGGTTGATTCAGTGAAAAGTCTGAGGAAACAAACCACCTCATGACTCATGCCCAGAACAAACCATAAAAATGATACGAGGCCCTTTAGAAAGAAGGCAATATCAGCTCATCAACTTTTCAGACCAACTTCATTAACTGTGGGCTCTTTAACACCAATGTATTTCCCAATGTTGATCCATAGAAAATGAGCTTCAACCATTAACACTACTCGAAAAGTTATCTCATTGCCCATCGTCCACCTGGCATGCTTTCATAGTCAGTCTATGCATGAGTACTCAAACCATGGAACAAGCTCCCACTCGTCCAACAAAGCCGTGTACTATTGATGTCAATTCATTCATAAAATAGTCAAATGTTCCACGAATATCAACCCCAAAGCAGATGAACATTGATATCAAGCTCTACGACTGGTGACAGAAAACCCCAGTGCATGAAAAATCACTGTCCACAACCCACATGTCTAAAACTACAAGTTTCCCTTGTAGTTTATCCAACTCTTCTTCGGAGGACCAGAAAATAAATTTACTTTTCATCTCGACCGAAGTTAAGTTAGGACGGATGGCGCTGATATCCAAAGCAAGCTGCATATCATCGACATTGCTAAATTTCATGTTCTGCTTCTCTAGTAATTTCTCAACTGCATGGAAAATAATCGAGTCAAGAGAAACAGAATCTTTAATTAGTGGGTCCACTAGTGAAACAATATTGTACACGAAATTGTCGGTCCAAATCTTAGAAGTAGATGATGAGCCCCTGATAAATAGAAGTCCAGTACTCTTCCCAAGATAAAGAAAATTTGACAGGTCAAAGGAATCAAGAAATGAGTTACCACTTATAGGAATTGTGTTTGCATCTAGCAACCATGTATCATAACCTAGTTCGAGACTCTTTTTCGTAGCATATGCCTTAACTAAAATCTCTTTGATCAGCTCCAAAGTAGAATCTTGAAAATTAATGGACTTGGCAAGTTTACTGAAGTCAGAAAACTCGCTTGCATCAATAACTGGATTTCCCCTTCTAGCAACATCGTAAAGAAAATCAGAAGTTGGGCCAATTAGGATATAGTTCTGTATATTCAGCTTCTCAAAGTGGCAGAGAATATTCCTTATAATCATTTCTGGCTTTCTGTAGACACTCAACAGTATCACAGAGTTATTTGTCTGCACAGATCGAATGATGGATTCAAAGTCATTCAAGCTCCTCACGATTCTATTGGTCAGTACTTCCCTAAAACAAAAGTCGTACCACTTGAGACTGTTCAGAGGGTAAGTTTCCACTAAGTTGAAATCAATAGAGTTTTCATTCAGTAGGTACGAATCTGGCCCTGCTGTTTTCCCATAATTTACACCAGCGTCCCTATGAGAGATGCTGAGAGCCCTCTCGTGAAGAAAATTAGTATAGATATTGAAGTACCCATGAGAATGGATGAACTTAATAAACCAGGGGGTCCAGATTTTCTCACCCATCTTTTTGTACCATCCAGTTGTTACCTAAAAATATTGAAGTAAGTAAGTTCAAAAGAAGAAAAAGGGTTTGTTATAAAAATTATTCATGTTTTTTTTTTTTAGCCTAAATACCCAAAATAGCAACAAAACTCCACGAAATGTCTTTTGACTTAAAGGGAATAGTTGTGATTTTTAAATGCGACGGAGGTCTTTGTAGTTAGGCTGAAACTTAGGGGTAGAACTATAGCTACTAGAGAAGAAGAAAAAAAAAAAACAAAAAACTGGGAGTGTACTCATTGTCGTTTTAGGAACAAATAAAGTAAGAGAAGTACAGTAGTTTTTTATAAACATACCATTCCATCCAAGACAGGCCTCATGCCTTTAGCTTTATGTGTGTCATACCACAGACGAAACTCTTTCCAGGGTCTTGGAAAGAGAAGCTGGCCCCAGGTGCCAACTAGCTGGTATAAGAAAATCCGAGCTTCACCATCCAAGTGCATCTTGTTTCCATGTTTACCTGTCCACATAAACCAATGCGATGACTTGGTGGAAAATTAAAGCGTAAATAGCCACGAATTTCAAAATCCATCTAGTCGCATGACCATGGAACTTAAATTTATGGATGTACATGTTAAAGTCCTCTATACATGCAGTAAATGAATAAAATAATCAAGACAGACACTCGGAATGTCTCTGTGACTAGATTAACTTGTTAGGGCATATATCATGCAGAGCAGATAGTTTGAATTTATTCATTTATCTTTGTAACACGACCCTCCAATTCGCACAAAACACTAAACATATAAACTGATCTAGCATACAGTTTTTTTACCACTTAGCACAAAACACTAAACATTACTGGTAAATTTGGAACCATCTCCAATTCAGCATACAGCTGATCTAGCTATATTCTATTGAAGCAATCTATGAACGTGTCATACATATAAACTGCTCCACAAAATCCTAGGAAACAAGATAAAATAATATCATCCAAAACATTTATATCCAAACATATTCTGATGGAAATACCAAAAGTATATCAAAGAAGCCATATGAAACCCAAACCATATAAAAACAGAAAAAGAATACAATACCTGCCACAAATCTAGGCCTTTGCAATGACGCTCCATATATGGAAGGACTAAAATTTGATGCATTATAGTAATAATTCAATATCACAGCCTTCAGAAACCTACCAAAGGAGAAACATTTCAAATTTATTTATCATGTTCCATCGCAAGCAATATATTGTACAAATTATAAAAATCAATCAAAAGACATGGAGTACATGAATAATGAGGGCAATTAAAAAAGAATAACACAAGTTGGAAGGAAAAATAGCCATCATTGTTCACCACCGATCAATAGTTCAATTGACGAAACAAGCTAAAACCCAACTCCACAGATATCCACAAAGATGAGACTCAAAGCAAAAAGGGGATCCATTTCATAACCATTGAACTATTCTTCAGTAAAAATTTCAAACCTTATCAAGTATAATTGTCAAACCAAATCACCTGTTTCACTAACTTAACATCAAATTATGAACAAGACCCGAAAATTTTGATGTAATGTAAAAGAAAAGAGTGGCATCAAATGGTAAGAGTTGGTAACTCTATTCAACATCTCACTAGATTTAGCAAAATAGTGAACACAATCTAATAATATTAACTGCAGCGCAATCAAACCAATGGCTCAAAACAATGTCATAACCCCATAAACAAACCATAAGGATCAGAAAGACAAAAAAAATAAACCTATAATAGAGAGGAGAAACCTCCACATCATCCTCAACGACAAAAGCAAACTCATGATCCGAGGCGGGCCACCACGCCTCAAGCCACTGGGCCTGAAGCCCGGCATTGGAAGTCCGATAGTGCACAAACTTCTCCCCGAATTCCCAACCAAAGCCATCGACAAAATTAACGATCTGCTTGGAGAGTTCCAGCCTCTGGTCCAAATCCGCAGAGCCATTTCTTTGGGGATCTGGCTGGAAATGGTCGATGAATATGTGGAGATGAACTTTGTCGCCGACATCGTAGCGGGCCTTAGAGAGAGAGTTGAGACACCGGGAGAGAGATGAGAGCCGGTTGAAGGTGAGAATTTTGATAATGAATGTGAAGTTCGGGCCAGGGTTTGGGATGGGGATTTGGTGGAATCGGGTCTGGATTTGGGCCTTCGGGCTTGAAGTGAGAGAAAATAGAATGAGACAGGAAAGAGAGAGGAGGATAATGAAGAAAAGCAGTGGGAAGATTTGCTTCGACGGCACTGACGCCATAGAAACCTCTGCTCCAATACTCTCACAGTGGTGTTGTGGTTGTGTGTGTGTGTGTGTGTGTGTGCGTGTGGGAGTGAGAGAAGAAGAAGATATGTTGAAGACTGAATCAAGATGCAGAAGTATTTGGGCTGGAAATTTTTAGCATGTATTCAATCGGTTTTTCTATAAAACCAAACAACTGGAATTTATCTTTCTTTTAAGAGAATTATTTTCTCTCTCCATTCTTAATCTCAATTTCTTCATCTTTCCCAATCCTACGTTTTCGCTGCCAAAAACTCTTCCCTTTTATTTTATTTTACTATGCCTATAATTTGTTCGACGAATATCCCGACCGACATGTTTTTTGATGGAATGCAATCATCAACTGCTACTCGACCCACGGTATGTCCGCTGCATTTCTCGGCATGGTCTCAAGAATGCAGTGGGCATGAGTGATCCCGATCAGATTGGCCTTCTCACTGTTGCTCATAGCTTGTGTTGACCTACGAGCCTTGGGGTACGACCGCCCACAAAACTCATGATCCTACCCTTGTCCGACTGTTCGTTTGGCAAATCATTGTCTGAACATAAAATCTTCTGGCGGTGGGTGAACATGGAGTATGGAGAACATTAATTTAATTTAATTGCAATAGGCTAATTCTTAGAGAATCTCGATTTCCATGATAATTAAAAATAATTATATTGAGTTTACTGTTTGTGTTGATAAACTGGAGCTCCTAACACTCTTGACCCCGCAGGCCCAGCTTCGGTCACAAGAGACATTGAAAAACTGAAGCTTCACGTGGACCTTGGATTCTTCCTTTACTGGCTTTCTTGTCCTCGTTAAGTATCTCAACCCACCGGTCGATTTCTTCGCCATCCAGGAGCTCGTGGACAGGCACTTAGGCCCTCCCAATTAGGATGGCACCAATCAGGTTGTCATCCTTGATCGTGATATGGACGTTGGATGCGAGCAATAGATGTGGAAAAATACTCAAGCATGGTCTAACGAACGACGTGTTCGCATAAAAAAGACTTCTACCCTTTTATGTCCGGTGCGACGAGAATGGTCGCGCACGTGTTGTTTCCGAGGAGGGGGATGTTTTTAGCACATAAGTTAGTCTTGAAAAAAATAAAAAAATACCTTATGAGCATTGGTGACTGGAGATATCATGTGTTTATCTTACTAATACAATCAATCCTATCAACAGTGTATTTCATAAGGCAATGGGTTTCGTAGATGGATTATAAAAGACTTATCTTTTTCATTTGTTCTTTTAGCCTTTTCTTGATTAATCAGTTATTACCATTGTATAGGTGAATTGTGAATGAAGTCATTTGGGTCTATTTGTGATAAAAAAAAATCTAAGGGTGTTACTAAATACGGCCCCCTATTACTATCTACCACCCCAAAAGATAGCTTTACCCTTCTCATTTAATTTTTTTTTTCTTTGTAAATAATTTTATTATTATTATATTCTTTTTTGCGCGGCCGGCTACCGCGCAGCCGACCTATGGCCTGCGGCCCCTCCCTCTAGGCGGCCGCCATAGCCGGTCGGCCACTCCGAAGGCCGCCTTCTTCAGCGGCCGGTCATTCCCTCTCCAGCCGACGCCGACCAAATTTTATTTTTTAATAAATGAAATAATTTATATATATTTAAAAATTTAGAAAAATATATAATTTATTATTATTAAATATGTTACTTATTAATAAATATGTTATTTGTAATTAATATATTATATATATGTTAGTGAAATTATAATTTGTATTGTAATATAAGTTGAAAAAATTGTATGATTGTTGTTGACAAGCGTTTTCGGTCAATGGTTAAAATGATAAATGCCGAAAGTAAAAGATTGAAAACGAAAAAAGGATTCGGTTTAATTATGGTTTTATTAGGCGATCACCAGGTCGGCCTCTCGTACGAGGTCGACACTTGCGATATACTTACAATTCTTACAATGAGTTTCTTACAGTTTTAGGGAGAGAAAGTAGAGAGAAGGCAGAGTTAGTTGAGGTTTAACAACCCAAAATAAATGAAATGAGCTGCTATTTATAGTAGCCTTTAATGTGGTACTGTTCAGCCACTGTTCACCGGTCTTGTCGCACAGTGGCCTTACAGAGCAGTTCGGCGTCCCTCTGACATTCATTTAATGCGATTTGAGGTTTCTTCAATCATTACTTGTCAGGCATTAAATGCCAGCATGGGGGGCATTTAATGCTGGTAGGCTTTATTGACTTGATTTGCTGATAGGGCGCTAGGCCATAATAACATGTCCCATCATCTAATGATGGCCTTCCAAGTGGGAATATCTTAATGCTCGTCGAGCCCCGCCCTTTCCTTCTGGTCGGCCACCCTGGATCTTCAGGTCGGCATCTTACATGAACATGCTTGCGAGACAGCCAGTTGCCTTCTTCCTGCCCGGCGCCCACCCAGGTCGGCTCCTGTCCGGACTGAGCCAGGTGCCGGTCTAGGGAAACGTTCTCACGGCGATTCTGCATGTCTTTAATCTTTAATTCAGCTCGGCACCCCGGCGTTAGACCGGGGTCTTTAGCTCGGGTCCTGAGAGGTCGGCTCTGGTTCATTATGGGCTAACTCGGTTATCAACATACAGGCCCCCGAGCTCGGAGAGGAGGTCTCCCAACATCTTGTTCGAGGTCGTTACTCTAGTGCTCAGTTCCG